CGCTTGATCTCACTGTGCATGTGGCTAAAAAAGATGTTTAACAGCACTGGTCCAAATACCAACCCCTGAGGAATGCCACCCAGTTCATTGCATTTCGAAAACACTGCAGACAGATACTGACCTGTAGGAAAGTGCCCACCAAAAAACACATTGAATATTTCTTCTGGAGTAATGTCTGCTTCAAATTCTGTGTAGTAATTATAGTGCCTGTGCTGGCCAGTGCTGACAGGCTCTTGGTCACTTCCAAATTCATCGTATCGTAATCGTTTTTCAGGGTTGCTAAGAACTGCAAAAGCATTGCCTATTGCTGGAGAGGGAATTAAAATAAATGTTATGCGGGCACATTACACAGTATTTCGAGATCTCAGACTTTTATAAGCAGAGTAGTAAAAAAGCCCAAACAAGCATAGAAAATTCGTGCTTGACCAAAGATGGAGATAATTCTGAAAGAACTGCCTTTGTAAAAAAAGTGTTACGACACTGGCATTACCTGTGATGGAACCTATTTCCTGCTATCACTGATACCAGGAGAAAGTCAAAACTGTTAAAAGTATACAGAGAGAGCTGAAATATTTGTAAAACTGAGGCGAGAGAGTCCACTTCAGTCAAAAGGTTGAGTGAGAACGTAGCATTTTATCCTATCAAACTAAGCACTGATACAGAAGTGCCCCCCTGTATACCATACACAGTTAATACAAAGTTAACAGCTGCAGAGTAATTAAAATGCAGAACCACTTTCCAAGTTTTTCTGTCAGCAGAGATGCTTGTGAAGCTGTACAGACTACCTGTTTCACACTTTAGGTCAAACCAACCAGAAGGATTTGTTTGGTTCGTCTTCTTCCTTCACCTTTGACGGACATAGCTGTAAACAAGTTCACAGGAAAATACAACCCTAACACACACAAAACAGAAAAGCCCTTCAAAACCTCCTTATTCTAATAGACCACGAATGAACATCTTACTTTGCTCGTGCTGCCTTACAGTGCTGTTGCAGACAGCTGCAACACAGTATGGAAAAGGCAAAAGCTCTCAGAGTTTAGATGATAACATTGTTGATACAGGTTTAGATTGCAACATTACTGAAAAGTCCAGACACAGAACACTGGACTCAAATTTCACATCCTTGCATACAGATATGTATAAAATTTGCTTTATGACACTGCGCTGTTATTGATTACACAACACCATACTCTCCTGCATGGCCAGTATCATTTCCAAGCATCATTCTGAACCTTTCGCAGTATCTAGGAATGAGATTTTGCATCCATTTCCCTTTGCTCCTAACGGAAACTTGTATTTTGAAGATTAAAAGGCAAATCTTGCCGAGCAGCTGCGGGATTTGGTGGAGACATGCATATCCATCTACAAAAACGACAAGCTGCGTGGGGCCGCATGATGCCTTTACGTAAGCCTGACAGGCAGCCTGTCCTCGTTTCAACCTCGCTTTACGACTCCAACCCCGGGCCAGCCCCCCGCCTTACCTCACCTTTAAAGGCCTCCGTGGCTCCGGGAGCGCGGTTCTTGTCCGGGTGGAATTTCAGGGCCAGTTTGCGGTAGGCTTTCTTCAGGTCCTCCTCGCTGGCGTCCCTCTCCACCCCCAGAATCTCGTAGTAGTTCCGACACCGCTTGATCCTGGAAGCGCACACAAGGTTACCACCACCGGCCTAGCCCCCA